GGGCAGGGTGAGATGTGTCCCGTGGCGAGAGGGGGAGGCAACGGGCCTTTTCCTGCCCATCCCATCCCCGAGGCGTCGTCCTATGCCGCGTTCCGCTCCTGCCGCCGTGGCCGCCTCTTTTCCTCCCTCTGTTGGAGGCTGTTCTCTGCGTCTCTCCTCTTCGCTCCTGCTGTCGCTGCCTCTGCTCCTCTAGGCTGAGAGCCGCGATTTGAAGCCTGAGCACCCCTCCGCCTTGTCCCCGGTTTGCCGTTAGCTCGGAAAACGTAGCGATCGGTGTGGGTGTCGCAGTGACTCCTGAAGTAAATTTACAGGCTTTCTCGCCCGTTTTTAATGGGATTTGTGTGCTATTATAAACCTCATGACCCGGGTTACCCTTGCTAACGCAGTTAAAAACGGGTTTGGAAAGTGAAGCTTGGTGGCTTTTGATTGCTGACTGAAGGTTGTCCTGTGAAAGGCTGTCCCTCGAGAATTTCCAAACAGGTCAGCTGTTTCAGTGCACCTGATGCCCTTAAAGTTCTGCCCCCACCTGAGCTCCAGAGACGTGAGGTTATACAAAAGACCTGTTCAAACGTTTCACTCTAATAAGTACTTCCTAAAGCAATTTGTTTTGATGCTGCATGTGCTTTATTATATTAAATTATCTAATGTGAAAGCAAAGCAGTCATGTAATGTGTATTTCTAGTCAAAGCTTTAAAGGAGAGCACGCTGCTGAAATGAGGTGCATCACTGGCTAAGTAGCTGAATTATCTTGTTCTGATGGGAAATTAGCTTCTGAAACGTGAAATGTCCTTAACAGAGACATTTATTAGAATTAGTTTATTTATTATTTCAGGACAGTACAATAGTTATGGTACTAAAAATTGAAGAAAATACTAGGGACAGACAGTTTCCCCCCCCCCCTTCCCTATGGTTTTATTCTCAAGCTGGTTTGAGCTTGCTGTGTAACCAGAACTTCTCCACTGAGAATTTCTCTTGTAATGGATACTACTTGTGTTCATACACTGTTTTTTGGTTTGTCCCCCAAAAAAAACCAAGAGAGTATTTGCCTTATATACACAGATGCTTTAGAGCTCTGCTGGGGAAAGGTGTGAGGAATGTTGCTGGTGGAAGCAAAATGACAATGCCAGTAGTGCCTGACAATGCCATTTTTGCTCCCAGGTGAACACATTCAAAAGTGAGGAAAAGATGACAGTAAAGCATAAAAGGGCTGTATGGCAAGCAGCAAGGTGCAAGAAAACTGTTTTAGCTACTGTCCTCATCATTAATTTAATAAGTGAACAATAATTAAAATGTAGATTTGGCAGTTTTTGAAATCCTCCTTAGATTTTCTATACTACTGTGGTGGTGTTTTATTTCTTTTTGCCAGAATCCCTCAGAAAGGATAAATAGTAGATTATTCCAGTAGAATAGGGTCCCACTTTTGCTTACCTGCTGTCGTATATGGAAATTGCTTTAGCAGTGTCCTGTAGGAAGAAGAAAAATAGCTGTCTACCTGACAGAATAGTAATTGAAAATAATTTTCTGTATATTATACTTTTCTATTTGTTTTAACTTTTTTAGCAGATACAGAGAAACAGAATAATGAGGCACTTAATATATTTTCTACCAATTTCTAATCCATAACACTTCCTATCTGTCACATCAGTGACTTGTCTTTGACTATAGGTTGGCCACTTCGGGGGAGGAAATAGGTTTTCTCTCTACCTTTCCTTGGATATGCTGTACATATTAAATGATGGGTGAATGTGAAGAGAAGTCTGATCTGTAGAAGGACAAACTTAGTTTTACTACTGTATTTTTCTGTTTGGCCTAGCATAATTCCTCTGACTTTTGGTCTGTTACCATCCAGTCCAGTTTGCTGGTATCATCTCCTTCTCTGAATACAGGGATGCTTGCCGATTGATTTGCTGGTGGTTTAGATTTGTAGGTTTTGCCCAAGGTCTTTCACCCAGACTGAGAAGCATCTGGGAGAACTGTCTCCTTTCACTCCTTTCTTAATTTCCTCCCTCATTTTTTTCCTCCCCCAGCATGCAGCTGGAAGAAAAGGTTTTAATCTAGTCTAGAGTGTGAGAAATCTCTGTGTGGGGAAGTGGGAATGTGAAAACAACCCCCAAATATCATTTAAGTGCTGTGATAGTTGTTAAAATTGTTTTTGCTGCTCATTTAAAAACAGAACTGGTGTTTTCCATAGAAGCCATGTAATTGAGTTGCCTATTTAAATGCATTACTAGTAAATGGGAATTGCAGGTTTCTACCTGTACTTCCACTTTTAGTATGTGGTTTTCCTGTAGCATTAATGCAAATAAGAAATTAAAATTCCACTTGTATGTGTTGTTGAGTGGTTTGGTCTGTTTCATCTCTCCCTGGTTGTGCTTTTCCCACACTTAGTTGTGATACTTATTTTCCAAGTGTTTGTGGCGATACAAAATATACTGAAATTGTTTTGAAAGAGTAGGCTTTAAAGAGCTGTAGCCATGTTTGTTTTTTTCTTAATTTGGAGCTTGTCACTCACCAGCCTGGGCTGCGGCACCAAGGACACTATTGCATCCTCCACAGCCAGGAGGAAATGGCCTGCCTCTTGTAGGCAGGATAGGTACCTTGAGTTGATTAGTATTAGTTCATTATCTCAACTCAGTCCAGCTGGGTAAGAATGATTGATGCCATAATTCCCCCTTCTTGTTTTATCATTTTTTGTTTTCACAAAGGCTTTATGGGTGAGCAGAGACCCAGCCCATTCATCCAACTCCAGCACGCTTCCCTCCCGCAAATACCACATCGGGGCTTGCAGCTTTACCTTCTTCTCCAAAGGACTCTCGCTCAAGCTCCCGGCTCTTGCTCCAGCTCTTTTGGCTCGGGCTCTCAGCTCAGCGAGGGAGTCGGGGCTTCCCAGGGTCTCACGGATGTATCACGTCAGGGTCACCAGTTGTCACTCACCAGCCTGGGCTGCAGCACCAGGGACGCTGTTGCATCCTCCACAGCCAGGAGGAAATGGCCTGCCTCTTGCAGGCAGGATAGGTACCTTGAGTTGATTAGTTAATTAGTTCATTATCTCAACTCAATCCAGCTGGGTAATAATAACTGGTTGCCATAATTCCCCCTTTTTGTTTTACCATTTTTGTTTTCATGAAGGCTTTAAGGTGAGCAGAGACCCAGCCTATTCATCCAACTCCAACACGCTTCCCTCCTGTGAATACCACGTCGGGGCTTGCGGCTTTACCTTCTTCTCCGAAGGACTCTCGCTCGAGCTCCCGGCTCTAGCTCTGGCTCTTTTGGCTCGGGCTCTCAGCTCGGCAAGGGAGTCGAGGCTTCCCAGGGTCTCACGGATGCATCACGTCGGGGTCACCGGTTGTTGCTCACCAGCCTGGGCTGCAGCACCAAGGACGCTGTTGCATCCTCCACAGCCAGGAGGAAATGGCCTGCCTCTTGTAGGCAGGATAGGTACCTTGAGTTGATTAGTTAATTAGTTCATTATCTCAACTCAATCCAGCTGGGTAATAATAACTGGTTGCCATAGGAGCTATCAATAGGAAAACCATAGAGTTGTCAGAAGTGTATATAAATTAACTTTGGCAGGTCTGATACCTTGAAATATACATATTATGAGTATCTAGAATTCACTAGTAGTGTAAGACCATTCTTCAAAATAAGGTGGTGTTTTGCACTTGTGGGCAGACTATTAGGCATTACTGTAAAACAGTAGCAAGAGACTTTCTTCCTAATCATTAAAGTGTTTAAGATCTTAATCGTTTTAAACGACTAATTTAATACTAAAGTATAATATTGTATTGATTTTCAGATAAGTGTATATGGAGCACAGTTGTCATCAGAAGCTTGCAGAGAGCTGGGCTTCTCCAGTAACTTGCTATGCAGTTCCTGCAACCTTCTTGGACAGTTCAATCTGAATCAGTTGGATCCATTCTGCAGGCAGTGCTGCCAAGAAGAAGCTCAGTTGGAAACTAGAAAGGTGAGTTTTGAACCAAATTCCTTGTAGAATAATTTAACGCATTATGTTGTGTTTATGAAACTTTTCATTTTAAAAATATATGAGAATCTGAGTTATAATCTGAAGAAGACAATGCAGTGTTTCTTGGTAGCCCAATATACATAGGGTCTAGATTTGCAGACTTGCCATATTGCTCTAAAATAACATCCCTGTATGAGCAGAGAGAGCTTTGATTCTGTGACAGCCCTTCTTTGGTGTGAAGTGGCTCATGGGAGCTGTTTCCAGCTTCTTTAAATTGAAAGATTTATGGGATTTGGAGAGGGCATAAAAAAAGAGGGTAAGGAGACTGGTGTTATTGATCATAGCTATTGCTTGGTCATTGACCCATGGTGTCATGTCCAGGATAGTTCAGTTCAGTCCCTGGAAACAAAAGGCTGATCCACCTTTCAGATCAATTCCTGAAGTGGCATGAACCAGATAGAAGCAGGGCTGCTTGACTCCATTCTGCAGCAGTTAGAACAACTGGGTTCTAACAGCTCAAAATACTGGGGATGATCTTGCTCAGAGCCTGTGCTGTGCTTCAGTCGGGCTAAGTCCAAACCTTTCTTTTATCTGTAGTAAATAAATACTATTTTGCTTAAGATACATCAGCAGGGAAGAATTTTTACAGAGCTCTTAAAAAGATTACATGCTTTCAAATATGTTGTAATTTAAGAGTACTCTAGAATACATTGAAGACCAATCAATTATCAGGAAAGTAGAGATTTCAAGGAGAAGAGATGCTGAAATTATTCTAAATGGCTAGGAGATAGCTAAATAACTGACAACATGAAATTAGTGAGGAAATCTAGTTAGTAGGTTTCTCCTGTCAATTAAATTAATCACAATATTAAAAAAAGTCTGATTATGGTGTTAGGTACAGTATATTAAATATCAAGAAGAAAATGTTTGAGATTTGCAGAGAATTGATAATAAGTAGTTCGTTAATATTGAGAGACTATTAAGGTAATAGGTAAGACTGCAAATTGTGCTGTTTTATATATTGACGAAAGAATGCTTGCAGTAATAGTTCAGTACAATCCTTATGGGGTTTGAGAGATTTTTGAGGGAATGGAGAAATAGGAAAGGGTCTCCAGCTGTGCTGTGGTTGCCTGCCACAACCAGTAACTGTCGTGGTGGCAGCAGCAAGGCTTCCTGTCTTCCTGTAAAAGTGGATGCTTTTATTTGTTCAGATAATATTCTTACAGTTTTGCCTCAGTGTGCATAAGATGTAGCACAAGAACTTGTGGAGCCTGACAACTTCTGTTGTCATTTGTTCAGAAAATAAACGAGAGGAGTTGTGTTGTATTTCTGTCAATGTGACTTCTGAGGGGAAAAAATCTTGGTTTTATTGATTTATCAGTAATTTACTCAAGAATGTAACTTAGTTTGTATTGTAAATATTGCATTAATAAAAGTTGGATCAAACAACAGAATTTAAATCAACAGATATTTTTCTGATTATCCCGAATCAGACCTGGGTTTCACCATGTGGTTAATCACGCTTTTTGTGTAAGACTAATCAAATGTCATCTTGTGGTCAGGGCTTTACATTGTAAATATTTTCAGTCTCAAAACTTTTTCTATTTTAGTCCTGTTAAATGTAGCAGAACAAAAAGCATAGAGCTGGACAGGGTCTCAAGGTGGTTCGACAAATCCCTTCACAGTGACCCAGAATTTGTTGTGTATTCACAAGAACTATGAGATTGTATATTGTAAGTTGATGGGTTTTTTAATCTATTTATGTTGGTTTCATTTTCTGCTTGTGCTTTGTAGTAAATATGAACAATTTGCTGCTATAGCACAACTCAATGTACATCTTGGCTATTATTTTATCTCTTCTTACTTCTGTGACATTTTTGAAGAAGTTTAATGCAAATAATTCTTGAGATTTGGAGCTAGTATGTTAAGTATCGGCTTGAATTATAGTAGTGATTATGGTACTGTTTTCATATCCAGGTTTGAATGCAGGCTTTCTCTACTCTGTGTGTGAATAGAAACATTGAATTGTTCTATCCTTGTGGTTATATGGCTGAGTGCTGAATTATAGCATTGTTTCTAATATTCTTTTGAATGCTATTTCAGAAGGTGAAAATTTTTATACTGTTACCACTGCTTGGAAATGTGTATTTCAGATTTGCTGATTTTTCTTTAATTCTTTTTTTAAAACTTTTACTTCCCTCAGAGACTAGCCAGTGGAAAATTAGTATTGGGAGAAATGATTGCAAATATTATCTTAACAGATTGTATTCAGAATCATCACATTTTGGATTGACTTGTGTTTTAACATAGTGCTGGTTGTAATAGGTGTCTGTAATTGAGCTTAAGATTTTACTCTTACATAAAAATCAACATTCTAATTTGTAGTAGCTTCTTGCTAAAGTAGTAGCTTCATTATGCGCGTGCAGAATAGAAAAACTGAATGCTGCCTTTTGCTATATTTTTTTTTCCTTTCCCTATTTTTTTTTCAGTTTACCATAGAAGTCTTCCTACTGATAATTTGATAGTTCAGAGTGAATGGATGTTGCAAGTCTTAACAGTTTTTTTTCCTACCCTCTTGCTTGAAAAATTTTTTAATCTTGCTCTAAAAACCTGCATCTAGATTTAAGATGTCTGTCTTGCTGATTAGCAACCTTATATGTTGCTGAGTTCCAGAGCAGTGGTGCTCTGAGTTTTGCTACATGCTTGAATGTCCTCAAAGGACAAAGCACATGAATCTTTTTTTTTTTTCTGAACCATGATTCCAGTACATGACCTAGCTTGTTCATTATATGAGCAGATATTTGTTCCCATCATGTCACACAACATGTTGGTAGTCTGTGCTACGAAGAGACTTGCACACTATTAGCATTCTAGGACAGGCTTCAGGATTTTAAGTTAATTCTCCTTGTATGTGGCAAGTATTAGAAATAGAGGAAGCAAGAATTAGGTTATTGCATGACTTGAGCCTGAGTTTTGAATGAGAATTTAATATCAAAGGAAAGGAGATAGCATGTGTATCTGAGAATTTTTATGTATCATAGCTACCTTTCTCAAATGCTCTGTGAAATATGCCCAGTCCTAAAAAATTGTTTGTGCTGCGTAGCAACAGTGCAACCTCAAATGAGATGTTTACAGATTTCAACTGTTTCATATCCTTGAAAGATACTTACTAATCCTGGTCTTGTTATTGGTCCAGTATTCTGTGAGTTGACCTTGTGGAAAATAGCTGTGAGGTACTCTTGTCCAGTATTTCTGTTGCTCTTAACTTCTGTTGACACCTGTGCAGTGAAATACTTTAATTACTTCATAATTGTACTGTGGGTAAAACAAAAAAAATATTTTGGTTATTTTCTCCTCATCTAGAGGTTTTGCATTCACTTTGAGACTAATTCAGATGCTGGCTTAAACAGTATTGCTTTAGACAGCTGCAAGTTTTAAGCCTCAGTCTGTCAGATGCAGAGTACTGCTGGTGTGTAAAACGTAGAAGGATGAAATGGAGGTGAAGCTAACTGTGCGTGAAATTGTAGTAGCAGGAGAGATTGTCCATATTTTGCAGTAGCTGAAAATAGCCGCACTCCATCTGCAGCTTCACTTACCCTGTGTGATCATTTCAGACATAGCTGTAAGCATATTCCATTAATTGTGTAGTATAATCTTAGATTTATCTCAATACATGCATGTCAAAATCCAAATTGATTTTAAGAATCAACTCTGTGATGAAATTTGCAATACATTAAATTTCACAGTTGCACTGTGCAGGATTGCCACAACCCTTAAAAGTAATCCATGTTTCTAAACAGAGCTTTGAAATATATTTGCTCACTAAATGTGTTGAACTTCAGCATTTTAAATTTCTATCATTGAGTATTTGTCATGTTGTAACGTTATGGTGTTTGGTGAATTAGATAGCATGACATCAGGTGTAAGCAAAAGTTGGCCAGGAAATTTGAGACCTGAAAGCGGATGGTTTAGATGGCAAGTTGTCATGAGTAACATCATACGTGTCTATCATACAGGATTTCTAAATAGTTTGATTCTGCTGTAAAACAAGGCAAACATAATGATACAGAAGTCTATATGCATACTTTTAAAGTTACGTAGAGCTGGGAATAACTGCTCCACTGTACCAGTTTAAGCAAATCCATCTAAAATCCTGAGATTTTTAGCAACTTTCTTGGGCATGTACTCGGGGTTGTCAAAATATGATGCTGTCAAAACGTGGTTTAATAATTTATTGGAATATCTGGCCTCTGCGTTGCTAACATAATGAGAAATTTAGGATTGTTTTTCACCAAACTTGTACTAGATGTAACAATATAACTAAACTATTTCAGAAACTTGAAATGGATTGTTGTACTGTAAGAGGAGAAGTTTCCACCTTGATATTCTTCCTGCACCAGTAAATATAAAAGTTCCCTTTCATTCTGACATAAAACTTTGTGAAATATTAATCAGAAATAAATGTGAGCAGCTTATAACTCAGCTATTACTTTTTCCAAAAGATCTTACAGCCTGTCTTAAGGTTGGTTTACATTCAGAACCCCATTCTGCATCCTACCTGAACCTAAAATGACTTTCAGTATTTAAGACTGCTGTTTGAAAGTTAATGTAAGTCTATGGACTTAACCCCACTAGCTGTAGACAAACAGAATGGATGAGATTTAGAAAATAGTGGTATTCAGTGACCTTTAAGTATTGCGCTTTCTCAGCATTTTGAAAAATGCTGAAAAGAGAACCAACTGGAGAGAAAATCCTAAGAATGCATACTAAAACACTCTGGAAAATGGGCAGAAAAGTCAAAGCACAGCAGAAGAACTTTTCGTGGAGTTTTATTATGGCATTCCACTGGCCCGTCGGGTAAGTGTGTCTTCATTAGTTTGATTGATCAAAACATGTGGCAGCCAGGCATGTGTCACTCACAACAAAATTGTCACGCAGGCCTTCAAATGTTATAGGGTAGGAGATGAGCATGTATGCAGAAACTGTTCCTCAGATCAGGT